TGAGCTGCGGGATCCCGGAGCCCGGGCGTGGGCCCCGAGCGCCTTGCTTCCGGCGCAGGCGCGGAAAACGAAGTCAGGGCCTAGCGGAAGCCGCGGGGTCCTTCGCCTGAAGGGAGTGTTGGTGTTTTTCCCGAGGACCGTCTCTAGCACAATGTAGTTGCATTTCATACGTTGGACACCAAAATACTTGGAGACCGCGGGTCTTAATGACATTCATGAATAAATTCTTAGGCTTTGAAAAGCACATTTTTTCCGTAGTGTAGTGGTTATCACGTTGGCCTTACACGCGAAAGGTCCCCGGTTCGAATCCAGGCAAAAGCAATTTCACTTTCCTGAAAGTTAACTGTTCGTCAGTAGTGTTCTAAGAAGCTGAGAAAAGCACACACGTAGGCATGCGAGGAGGACTTCCGTTACTCACCACCACAAACCAAACCTCATTTTTCTGCCCTAAATCAGATGGGAGACCAGGACACAATCCTCATCTGGCTCTTGGGAGGCGGGGCGCCAAACAAGGCCTGCTTCCTGTTAGTTTTACTTCCGGGTAGTTCTAAAGGTTCTCTTTGTTCTCTTCTATCACCTGAACCTTCTCCACAGGCTGACGCTGACGAAGAGAGTATGTCATTGAAGGTGCATTTCCTGTGAGTCCTACTTGGCGGCTTCCCTCCACCCTGAGCACAGTTGTGATTTGCGTGACAGAACCAAAGAAAACAAATCTAAATCTGCATGTGGACTCACAGCGTCAGTATTCCCTATTCACACCGATTAAACCTACATTTTTTATATTAACACTTGTGTGCATACCGTTGATCCCAAATAATCCACTGAAAACTGTAAACCTCCACGTGGAGGCTTACATTACTGACCATTTTAATAAATATAATTCACGATGTGTGGTGTAAAGATCCTGGAAGGCTCTCACTCCCTTGCCCATCCTTCTCTGCTTTGTCCCTGCACGCTCCCAATTCTGCCTAGACCAGTTCAGGGCACGGCTTTGGATGCTTGCCAAACCTAGTTCTCTCGTGGATGCACTTA